ATAATTTGTGGACGAATCAATCAGGTATAAGATAAGAGATCTCGGATTTTGGCGCGAAAGCCTTTCGTCCATTTGGCTAAATAGATTTTTGGCATTTTAACTGATGTCAGTTCGTGGTGAAAACCCTATATATAATTCCAAACTAAGGCAAAGTATGACAGTTATTGCGAACTGGATAATAAAAGCACCCGTAACACTGTCTGCATCCAGTTACTTACTTACGCCTGTTACTCCTCGTGAAGGAGCATAGGCCGCTCACCAGCATTCTCCATCCAACCCTGTCCTGGGCAATCCTTTCCGGCTCCTTCCAGTTGTAATTCATCCTTTTCATATCTACTTCTATTATCCGACGTAATGTGTTCTTTGGCCTTCCTCTTTTCCGCTTCCCTTCAGGATTCCAAGTTAGGGCTTGCCTCGTGATGCAGTTTGATGATTTGCGTAATGTATTTCCTATTCATTTCCATCGTATTTTCCTAATTCCTTCTTCAGCTGGAAGTTGGTTTGTTCTCTCCCACAGAATGCTATTGCTGATGATATCCGGCCAATGGATGTTGAGTATCTTGCGTAGACAGCTATTTATAAATACTTGTACCTTCTAGATGGTGGTTGTTATAGTTCTCCAAGTTTCAGCTCCATACAGTAGAACTCCCTTGACGTTGGTATTGAAGATTCTCACTTTGATATTGGTTGAAAGTTGTTTTGAGTTCCATATGTTCTTCAATTGTAGGAATGCGACCCTTGCTTTGCCGATCCTCGCCTTTACGTCTGCATCGGATCCTCCTTGTTCATCGATGATGCTTCCCAGGTATGTGAAGGATTCTACATCTTCCAGAGTTTCGCCGTCAACAGTGATTGGATTACTGTTCTCCGCTTTGAATTTGAGGACCTTGGTTTTCCTTTTGTGTATACTGAGGCCTATTGATGCAGAGACTGCTGCTACACTGGCTGTCTTCATCTGCATCTGTTCGTGTGTACGTGATAGGAGGGCTAGGTCATCTGCGGAGTCCAAATCGTCTAATTGATTCTGAGCTGTCCATTGTATTCCGTGTTTTCCTTCAGATGTCGAGATCTTCATAATCCAGTCGACCGCCAGAAGAAAGAGGAAGGGAGAGAGTAAACAGCCTTGTCTGACTCCGGTCCCTACTTGGAATGCATCTGTCAGCTGTCCTCCATGCACTACTTTGCACTGTAATCCGTCGTGTGAGTTCCGGATAATATTGACAATCTTCAGGAACTCCGTAGTGTCGAAGAAGTTTCCATAACGTCCTCCTATCTACACTGTCAAATGCCTTTTCATAATCAATGAAGTTGATGTATAGTGACAAGTTCCACTCAACTGATTGTTCTACGATGATCCGTAGTGTTGCAATTTGGTATGTGCACGACCGATCCTTACGGAATCCAGCTTGTTGATCTCGAAGTTGGGCGTCTACTGCATCCTTCATCCGGTTCAGCAACACTCTGTTGAAGACTTTTCCTGGTACTGCCAGTAGTGTAATGCCTCTGTAGTTTTCACATTTGCTCAGGTCTCCTTTCTTTGGAATCTTGATGAGGTGTCCTTCTTTCCAGTCCATCGGCACTTGTTCCTCCTCCCAAATCTTTTTGAATAGAAGATAAAGCATGCTTGTGGTTGTTTCGATGTCTGATTTCAGTGCTTCAGCTGGTATGTTGTCGGGTCCTGCTGCTTTCCCGTTCTTGATTTGTCTGACGGCCATTCTAATTTCTTCCGTAGTTGGTGGATTGACATCTATAGGAAGATCTGTGTGTGCTGCTTCGATGTCCACTGGATTCATTGGAGTCGGCCTATTCAGGAGTTCCTCGAAGTATTCTACCCATCTGTTCCGCTGTTGTTAAATTTCGGTGATTGGCTTGCCTTCTTTGTCTTTGACCGGCCTCTCTGGTTTATTGTAATTCCCTGCTAGTTTCTTCGTTGTATCGTGAAGTTGTTTCATATTTCCTTCTCTAGCAGCTTTTTCTGCCGTCGTTGCTAGTTCTTCCACGTATTTCTTCTTGTCGGCTCTAATGCTCCTCTTCACTTGCTTGTTTGCTTCTATGTATTCAGCTTGTGCTTGGACTTTCTCTGCTCGTGTCCGGCTGTTGTTTATTGCTGCCTTCTTGTTCTTCCTTTCTTTGATCTTGTCCAGTGTTTCTGTAGAGATCCATTCCTTATGATGGTATTTCTTTAGGCCCAGAACCTCTTGACACATTGAAGTTAATGCTTCTTTGATGCCTTCCCAATTGTCCGCCATAGAAGTTTCTTCTTCTTTCAGTAGATCTTGTAAGGCTTGGAACATGTTGTTGAGAGCTATCTTGAATTCACTGAGTTTGTCAGTATCTCGAAGGAAGGCTGTATTGAACCTTTGTAGTGTTGTTTGTCCAGTTGTCCAGTTCTTTTTCAGCTTCAGTTTTAAATTGGCTACAACTAGGTGGTGATCTGAAGCTATGTCAGCACCTCTCCTGGTTTTCACATCTTCCATTGTCCTTCGGAATTTTTTGTTGATGCAAATATGATCTATCTGGTTCTCTGTAGTGTGGTGCGGTGAGATCCATGTAGCCTTGTGTATACGCTGCATCCAGGCACTACATTATATACGGATGATTGGAGAGAATACAGCCTCATACATAGGCTTGGTTATGTGCATCGTGTCGTTATCCACAAGTAGCATTTTGTGTACTCAACAACCTGGGAGCTCACAAACAATATTGAAGCTATATGGTCGATGCTGAAAGAGTTTTTGAGACTTTATCATGGCTCCAGAAGCCGACTATTCTGTAGCCATATGGATGATTTCCTCTACTGCATGCATTACTATTTTAGAACCTCTGAACCTCTTCTTAACATTGACAAGTTTTTGAACCATGTAAAAGTAGTGTATCCATTTTATTTCTTTGATTTTGTATAATATATTTTTACTCTATATTGACTGTTTGCTGATTGGCTAGTATTTATCAAGATCACTTGAGATTCGTTCAAAGTTTGTCCATGAATTTATAGTCTAGTGGTTTTGTTATTCTGTATTTCCTCTCTTTTTTTCCAGATGAAACAACACTTTATTCGCTGGTGTTCATTGTCAGGTATTCGAGGAAGATTTGCACGTCAATTATTACTTCCATCATCATATCCCAAACAACATGAATCGCAGAGTTTTTTAATAACGAATAATCCTCGATTATCTTTTCGTTTTTTGGCAAATTATTATGTTTTATTACGAATTATTTTGTTGTATATATTTAGCTATTTTTTATCCGGTATAAGTTCACCATTATTGTATATAGTGTGTTTAATTGTTTTATATTTGTTTTATGAATTTGTTATAACCTTGTTTGAGTTATGTCATGAGAAAGTGAAACGCATTTAAAAGATAGTCGTTTTTATTGTTCTGTTCATATATATATGATGTTTGTTCAGTTCTCTTGTACTCTCACTGTGTATATGAATGTACATTATATTTACTCGACAACTGAATTGTAAAACATCTTAGTTCCGACTATTATGTTTGTGTTTTTTGTTGTTGTTGGTAAAGTTGTAGTAGTATTGAAAAGAACCTATCGGAACTTTTAGTCTTTTGCGCAACAATCGAATATCATATATGACAAAAAGCGGAAATAAGTTTGTATACAGCTCAGAATATCTAAAGTGATAGCCAAAAACTATTTTATGTCTCCGTTCGGTAATATGAGCTCGATTCCGCTTCTGAAGATTGTGTATAACAAGCGAATCGGCTTTAAACTAATGCTCAAACAGTCATTAGTTCAGCGGATGGAGATGGATAATCTACATCTATGTCGTTTGTTTAAGTTACATACACACTTCCAGAGATTAATTATGTATAAAATTTTGATGCTTCGTGATATTGTTTTCTTTTCCATGAACCCGTTTACAAAGGATGTTTTATTTGCTAAGAAGTGCCTGGAAATTGTTGAAGACTTTTAGACTCGACCATACACTCTATTTTCCTCTACAGACTTAGGAAACGATATAGGGAGATAGGATCCAAGGGAATAATCCCCAGGATACTCGATCGGATGGCACCCATTAATTGTTAGAAAATAGATGGGACGGTCTCAACCCTCAAGTGGTGGACGGTTATACTAAAACAAATCGCTATTGGTAGGTCTCTTTATTCTTTAGACACCACTTGTAAATACGCGTCAATAAGGTTCAACTTCGCGTAGATCTTCCCACCATTTAGCTTAGTGAATAAATCTGTGGGAACTGATAGTGTGTAATGATGTTTAAGGGTTGTGTTACGGCCTGTAGAGATCTGTGTGTTGTGCCATTTGCCTTCTGGATAACCGCAGTTGTTGCAGCCCAAACAGAATAAGGGGCAGGTGTGATAACTCCTTCTAGTTGTAGGCGGTTTAATTCTTCATCAACTTTTGATAATGGCACTGGTCTCTTCGAACGGAAAACAAGTTTACTTCCTCTCCAACCGATCCAGCACAAGCTAGATGGTCAAAAACTTCGTCATTAACTACGTTGCATGTGCTTACGGTTCTGGGGGTTGCCTTATCAGATGGTGTATGGCACTTAGTCTAATACTATCCTTGAACGTTAAATGGTGTCGTTTCCCTACTGGTCAATATTTAATTCACGTGTCATTTTTCTGTTGGTCAATATTCACGGTAGTCCTAACTATATAAATATGCATTTGTCTGTAAAGTATCATTCCTATTCTTATTCTTCTCCTGACCCCATAAACAATTTCATCTATGCTTCATGTTCTGATATATTGGAGATTGGGGAACAGTATTGGGGTCGTACTGGGATATATGAAGTTGGTCAGTCGGTAGTAATTAGAGTAGCCACCCTGCGGTACACAATGTAACCTAAAATAACTCAATATCATAAAAAGCGTCCTTTGCAATTATATGACCATTCATTAAGATTCATTAATACAAAGTATGCAACCCATTAGTTATAGGCAGTCAACACAGTATTAAAATAAACAAATGTATCTATTTTGAACTCATAAAATCGATATAGATAGATAGATAAAATGACTGACTGGAATGTCGATTTGGATAACAAAAGACGTTTGATCTGTCAATGTTTATGTCCATGTTTAATTGACGGAACACTAAACGATGTTCGAGACGAAAACCTTTACTCAGAAGAAGAAGAAGGAATATTCTCAACTTCTAAAGCTAGAGCCTTATCTAACCTCTTGTTTTTAAAAGACGATGTATTTGAAATTGAAGCATCAAATTTGTACGAGAAGAAAGCAATTACATTACAACCATGGAACAGTGAACACAACTTAAAGAATCGACATTGTGAAGAATTTCAATCACCATCTCAAGTCATAAAGAGATATTTACAAGATGAAGCTAAGCAAATCAATCGTTATGTCTTGATGACTATCTTATATAACGTTACCGGACCTATAGTATGATATATTTCCTGCTGAAATATAAATATATACGTGGTTCATTGATTGTGTTACTTAATTACTTACTTACGCCTGTTACTCTCAATGAAGCATAGGTCGCCGACCAGCATTCTCCAACCCATAGTCTTGGGCCTTCCTTCCTGGTTCTATCCAATTTTTGCTCATTCTTCTCATATCTGTCCCCATTTTTCATAGTAATGTGTCCTTTTGTCTTCCACTTCTCATTAGCAGTGTCAAGTCACCTAGACTGGTGGTTACATTGCAACATGGTCGATAGCATTCGATCTGCACTAATAAGGACTTCACACACATGACATCGGTCACCACCCAGTGATCAGTCAATTGTGACTACATCTCAGTCCTAAAAGAAGTCGGTCGCGGACTGGATAGCTCAGTGGTAACGTCTCTGACTGTGAAGCTGGGTGACAAGGGATCGAACCCGTCAGGGAGCACCAGGTCCCTCAAGATCACAGATACGTCTTGCTGACGAGTGCCAAGTAGCCCGAAACCCGGGTCCAGGGTCTCCTGTCGACGACCACCAACCAACTGTATCCCATTCTTCCCCCCAGATGTTGATGTCTTCATGATCCAGTCGATCATCAGGAGAAAGAAAGGGTGGGAGTAAACAGCTTTGCCTAATACCGGTTTTTACCTCGAACGAGTCTGTCAGTTGTCCTCCATGCACGATTTTGCAGTTTAATCCATCATAGGAATTCCGTATGATATTGACTATCTTCTCAGGCACGCCGTGTCGTCGAAGAAGCTTCCATGGCGTTGTCCTGTTCACACTATCAAGTGCTTTCTCGTAGTCAATGAAGTTGATGCAGAGTGATGAATTCCATTCAATTGATTGTTCCACAATGATTCGTCTGTACACGATCTATCCTTACGGAATCCTGCCTGTCGGTCTCGAAATCGGGCGTCTACAGAGTCCTTCATTCCGTTCAACAATACCCTGTTGAAGACTTTTCCTTGTATTGTTAGAAGAGTGATGTCTCCGTAGTTATCACACTTGATGAGATCACCTTTCTTTGGTATTTTGATCAGAAGTCCTTCTTTCCAGTCTGTTGGTAATTGTCCTTCATCCCAAATCTGGAGAGAATGCGGAATATCCTTGCAGTTACTGCTACATCAGCTTTTAGTGCCTTTGCTGGAATGTTGTCTGGTCCTGCTTCCTTGCTGTCCTTGATTTGTCCATTGGCTATGCTGATCGCTTCAATTGTTAGTGGGCCTGTGGGTAAAATACCATTACAGTCACCTTAAATTGTTCTGAGGAATAAGTGCAGAAAAATTAAATGTTATTTGTTTATGATGAAGATTGTATTGATAATTTCATCCAAGATAATAAAGCAGCAGAATAAATTCACTATAAAGTTGTCTAGGGAAATGATAGCCTATAAGTTAAAGAAATTTTAGGAATACTGAATTTTCTTACTTATATCTGTTACTATTTATGGAGTAGCATAGGCCTATCACCATCATTCTCCATCCAACTCTGTACTGGGCCATCCTTTCCAGTTGCTATTGATGCTTTTCGTGTCTGCTTCCAATTCCCGACACAGTGTGTTCTTTGACCTCCTACTTTTCCGTTTCCCTTTAGGATTCCAAATTAGTGTTCACCCGGTGATGCAGTTTGACGATTCCCTCAATGTGTGTCCTATCCACTTCCAACGTCTTCTCAGCTGGAAGCTGGTTTGTCCTCTCCCACAGTAGGCTGTTGCTGATGATATCCGGCCGACGGACATTCACTATCTTACTTAGACAATTGTTAATAAATACTCGTACCTTTTTGATGATGCTTGTAGTAATTCTTCATGTTTAACTCATACAGTAGAACTGTCTTGAAGTTGATGTTGAAGATTGTGAGTTTGATATTTGTTGACAGTTGTTTTGAGTTCTACATGTTCTTCAACTGTAGGAATGCGACCCTTACTTTGCCAATCCTTGCGTTTGCGTCTACATCAGATCCTTCACATTCATCGATAATGCTACCCAGAAACATGAAGGATTCCACATCTTCCATTGTCCTTCAGAATTTTTTTATTGATACAAATATGTTCAATCTGGTTCTCTGTGTTGTGGCCCAGTGAGACGCATGTAGCTTTGTGTATGCGTTTGTGTGAGAATATTTTGCCACCTATAACCAATTTGTTGAATGCACAGAGATTTGCAAGTGTTTCCCCATTCTCGTTGTTTTCTCCCAGTCAGTCCATATCGTCCCATGATATCTTCATATCCAGTGTTGTCTATTCCGACTTTGAAATTCAGATCTTTCATCAGGATGCTGAGGTCCTTTCTTGGGCGGTTCGCTATTATTGATTGCTGCCTCTCGTAGAACTGATCTTTGTTGACGTCATTGCTATCATTGGTGGGTGCATAACATTGGATAACACTCATTGCGATCCCCTCCTTCTTCATATTGAATGATGCTTTGATGATTCTGGATCCATAGGATTTCGATAAATAACTGCACTAATATTAACAAGTATATGAAATCTTAATCATTAAGCCATAACTTTATCCTCGTTTTTTTAAATATAAGATTTGGTCATATCTCTTGCTTACTTTAATACTGATGTTACCCTTAGAAAACATCTTTAATTTATAATCAGTAACACTATTCAACGTGATCAGTGTGTTTCATCACCAAATTTTTCATTTACACACTAGTATTGTTCCTTTCATATCTGATGAGAATCACAATTTACTTAGTAATTAAGCTAGAGAACAAAGTAGAACTCAAAATAGTACGAAATAAACTTTACATTTCATAAGTTAAACAATACAAGAAGAAGTTTTCAATTGGAGTTGAAATACAATTTATACATAATATTTACTATGTATATGGACTATAGTGTCGGTTACTATGTTAAACCCATATACCTTATTTTAGCTTCTGGAGTCACGTTTATATCATGTTAACTATTCGCTTATCAACTTTGACTGTTTTTATATGAGCATATATGTGTATACATCTTATCCTACTTACCCCACATGTATATAGTTTATTTTTGTGACTATAAATATTGATTACCGCTTAATGAAATGGAATTAGCTCGCCCGCCATCTCCACTACTTGTCATTTCGCTTCGTCCCGCTGATTGTCTGTACAGATCAATGAGTGTACAAAATATACATATTCAAAAATCCTTTCATTTATTTGACTTATTTAATCCCGTTATTCACTAATGCGGTTTAAGTCAATAGTTATATACGAGGATAGGCGACATATATATATTTCAATAACAATCATTCAATAGCGATCAACATATGATCTAATTGGAATCAGATCATATGTCAATAAAAGACTCGAACATAAATACTAAAAGTAGTGGTTTAGTGACTAGGAATTTTATTGATATTGAACTTTATGCAATTTTCATATTATTTTACTTGTTTGTCACATATCAATAGGCGGTTACGGTATCAATTCTCAACCTTGATAAGAAGTGATTTAGACATTCTACAGTTTGATTATTTTAACAGCGATATAACTAAGTAATTATAAGAAATTAAGGAAACTGAGCTATAGGGCAATAGGTAATAGCAGACAATTGTTTAGACTCGTTAAGGAAACCGGAATTAGGAACCCGACCGTTAGCGAAACAATCTCAGAGAAAGATGGACATATTATTCATTCTCAATCCAGGAGATTGGATCGATGGGCAGAACACTTTAGGGATCAGTTCAACTGGCCTTCAGCCACACTTCAGTTTCCCATGATCTCCAGTCAACCTGAATGGCAAGTTAATGTAAGTCCTCCGTCCCTTTACGAAGTTGAAAAAGCCATAGGAAATCTGAAACGAGGGAGAGCAGCAGGCCCTGACAGGTTTACTCCTGAGATTTTTAAGGATGGTGGTCCAGTATTAGCAATGAGATTAACTGAGGTCTTAGGTAGAATTTGGGAACTGGACGTAATCCCATCTGACTGGTCTCAATCACTGATTGTGCCAGTCTATAAGAAAGGACAAAAGTCCTCTTGTGACAATCACAGAGGAATCAGTTTGACTAATATAGTGTCTAAAATATTAGCCTCAATAATACTTCGACGCCTAACTAAAGCTCGTGAAGAGCAGACTAGAGAAAACCAGGCTGGTTTTCGACCTGGACGTGGTTGTATCGATCAGATATTCACACTACGTCAGGTTCTAGAACAGAGACACACATTCAGACGCCCCACAATGGTAGTATTTCTCGACCTTAAGGCGGCATTCGACTCCGTTGATCGTAAGGTTCTATGGCAGTGTTTGTCACTGAAAGGAGTACCAAAGAAGTACATTAACCTTATAAAGGCTCTCTACTCGAACACAACTGGTAGAGTGAGAGCTTATGGCGAACTGTCATCAGAATTGATCACCTCAAGTGGTGTTCGTCAGGGCTGTCCACTCTCCCCATTCTTGTTCAACTTTGTGGTCGACGTACTTTTAGAGATAACACTCTCCTCATCTAAATTTCCAGCGGTTGAACTTCTACCAGGAGGTTCACTTGTTGACTTAGAATATGCAGATGACATAGTTTTATTTGGTGAAGACGCTGACAAAATGCAGAGTCTTCTGACCACTCTAAGCAACAATGCAAGCATGTTCGGGATGCGATTCTCTCCCTCGAAATGCAAAATGTTGCTTCAGGATTGGGTTACATCGACACCCGAACTAGTGATAGGGAGTGAAGTAGTTGAGTGTGTCGGCCGCTTCACTTATCTTGGAAGTCTCATCAGCCCTTGTGGTTTGGTGTGTGACGAAATCTCAGCACGGATACAGAAGGCTCGACTAGCTTTTGCCAACTTGCGTCATTTATGGCGTAGGCGAGATATCCGTCTATCAACCAAAGGACGTGTTTACTGCGCAGCAGTTCGTTCCGTCCTACTTTATGGCAGTGAAACATGGCCGGTAAGAGTAGAGGATATCCGTAGGTTACTAGTATTTGATCATAGGTGTCTTCGAAACATTGCTCGTATATCATGGGACCATCGAGTAAGTAACACAGTTGTTAGGAAACGGGTA